TGGCACTCCCTCAACTCCACAGTCCCAGAATTTCACTGACACAAGGCACGGGAACAGCAGAACCTTGACTTAGCAGGTTATGGATGACATGAACGTGAAAGCCATCTCGCGGGAAGAGCTTGAGGCAGGTTGGCATCAGATTCATTCAAAGCATGCAGCCTTTTTTTCCACCCAGTTGTAATTAGGCTGTGTTGAAATCTCTCGGCCAGGTGGTTTGCAACGTGTATTGTGATACCGTGGCTTGGCATGCTAATATCTACTCTCGTCCTCCTCTCTTGATGCTCCGCTCTCAGTCTCCCGCTCTCACTCTCTCGCTCTCTCACTCCTCAACTCTCTTGCAAAAACCCTAAACCCTAAACCCTAAAAAGAAATTTGGTGTGTCCCAGCTGAGGAAAATGGCAAAGAGATCCTTGGCACCCATGGGGTAAAGACTGTTCTTTCTGCTTTTGCCTCGAAACCTGTCCCATCTTCCCTGTAGCTCAACCCATGCAAACGAGAGGGCCCTTGACAAGGTGGGAAACCGGAAACTTACCCTAAATCCTAAACCCTAAACCCTAAACCCTAAACCCCTCATTCAGGTGGGGCTCTGGCTTAGTCTGCTTGTGAGGTTCAACTACCTTGCCTTCTGCGCCATTGTGGATCCCGCCTTCTCGCGTGCGCCAGTGAACGCCCAGAAACGCAACTCGCTTGAATACATATGGGCATTTCCCAGAATAGGGGTACCCTTAAAGTACCTACCCCCAAAATTGTGCAATTATGTAAATCCCCCCAAAATAGGGGTACCCTTAAAATACCGCCAAAATAGTACAATCCTTAGTAAGCCTCAGTATAGGAACCCCCAAGAAGGGTACCCCCACTTGGAAACCCCCAGATGGCTTATATGGCCAAGACACTCCCAGGAGTTTGTGGGCCTGTGCCTCGAAGTGTGATGTCGGGTTGTTGTTTGCAGTGCACTGGCAAAAGCCAATCACCCAGCTCCATGGCACAATAACTCGCGACTAACAAGTGATTCCATAGCACCCCATTTTGAAGCGCACATGTCTTCGTGCGTAGAGCTAGGATGATGCTTGTTAATCCCGGACGACTGCAAGTGCGAAGAGTCGACTGCAACACCAAGAAGTACTGCGCGCAGCTTCTCGTGACGATACTTCAGCTCCGCACCATGATCTGCTGATTGCCACGGATTCCTTTTAAGCCTCTTAAAAGCGCCCCCTGATTTCCCCCCACGCAGGCAACCAGGAAGCTTTGAAGCAGCGCATCTTCTCCTTCACTCCAGGGGCCAACCCCTACTACGACCGGGAAGGCACCGGTTGCAGCTAGCGCCAGACCATCGGCCATGTATACGTATATATATATATATACGTATAGAGAGAGAGAGAGACAGAGAGAGACTGAGGAACAACACATGTAAACACAATCATAAGTAGGGTATGTAATGTCATGTGGTGTAGTGTAATGTAATGTAATGCAATGTAATGTAATGTAATGTCATGTAATGTAGCGTACGTACAGATATACATACACATATACATATACATATATCTATATATGATATATCTATATCTACATACATATATATATATAGGGCTTGGTATTGTTGTATATAGCTTGTCTTCGAAAACTCAAGATAGTGATAACAGTGCAATGTTAACAGTGCAGTTTTTTCGGATGCTTACATGCCTCTTCAAGATCCACCCCTCGTGGGCATCACTTCGCATTCGACCTCCAACAGTCAGCAGTAGACTGCATAGGTTTGATTTGCTTAGTTGGGTTGGTTCTCTCTCTCGCTCTCTCTCTCTCTCTCTCTCTTTCTCTCTCTGCCTCACTCTGATACAGATTCATGTTCATATACGTGTGTAGAAGGGTGTGTGTGTGTGACTGTGTGTGTATGTGTTTTGGTGGATTGGTGGGTGGACGGATGGGTCGGCCTGCGGGGTGCCGCAAACAAACGGCTCATAGTCCTTGCTGCCTTCTCCTAAACCCTAAACCCGTGTGTGTTTCACTCTGGCGCCCGATATTCGCTCTTCAGAGATGGTGCTGCAGAAGCCCTCAACTAAACTCTAAAACCCCGTGAAATTTGCTCAGAACTCACCAGCGCCCGCACAGATGCCGAAACCAACGCGCCAGGCGATGGAAGTAGGTACCCCGAAACCATATTGAGCATGGTTTCTGGGTACCTAAAACCCTTTAACACCCTAAAATTCCATAAAACCCTATAAACCCTAAAATTCCATATTTCTGGGTACCTAAAACCCTATAAAACCCTAAAATCCCTTAGCAGTACTACCAATGGTACTTCAGGGCCCCAGGATGCATCGGCTGCGAGGAGTCGCTGGCATGGCATAGTTTTGTCAGCCAGAAGATGAAAATTATATTTAGATTATGTATAAATATATTTATTTATTTATTTATTTATTATTTTTATATACATTTCTGCATATGTATATGTATATGCAGATCGCTGTTTAGAATGTCCGTATTCACAAGTCCTCTCTTTTCTGTATGTGTGGCAAATCATCTATGGAAACCCCAAACCCTGAACCCCAAACCCTAAACCCTGAACCCTAAGCCCTTAACCCTGAACCCCAAACCCTAAACCCTGAACCCTAAGCCCTTAACCCTGAACCCCAAACCCTAAACCCTCAACCCTAAACCCCTAGGGTTAGTGCGTGCAGCGCGGGTGGCGAAACCCTTAACCCTATAAACCCTAAGCCCTTGCGGGGTTGCACTGTGGGAGGCCGCGTCAAGCGTTGCCCCGTGCCGCCAAAGACCTCCAAGCCGCGCAGGGCCAGGCTCGCAGTGAGAGCCGCGGCTTCTTAAGGGCTTAGGGTTTAGGGTTTAGGGTTTAGGGCCTGTAGGGATTAGAGGGATTAGAGGGATTTTTTATAAGGTGTGGAGATTCGGGTTTTAGGGTTCAAGAGGAGAAAAACAAGTGAGGGATCTGAGTCTGAAGCAGCCAGCACTGTGCCAGCATCCTATAGACTCTGAAAGGGCTTTATTTGTGTTGCGCACGGCAGTGTGGAGCTTCAGCGATTACGTGTGGTCACTTCCTTTGGGCTGCGCAACTCAGGACCGATCACGTTGGTGGGCTGATGGAATTCATCGCCTTGAACGATTAATTCACTTCTGATGTGCGATCTGTACAAGCCCTGTACAGAAGAAGGTTTAACTTTTGTCCACAAGCGATTCCTTAGAACTGTTTGCCCGACCCTACACGAGCGCGTGAAAGCTGCAACATCCTTAACGGCGGTGCAAGCTCTTCAGCTTGACTAAGTTGCTCTGCTGCTCATCAATTCCAGCTCGGACCCAGCTCGTGTTGGATGGTGGTGGACAAGGTGATGCAATACTGCAAGCGCTGTCCGAAAGTTGTTAAGAAAGCCGCCTCTATCTCCCGATAAAGACGTCGACATCACTGAACAAGTCCCTTCGCATGTCGATGTGAAGCTCACCCGTATTGCACGGAGCTTGGTGCGGGAGGTGCAGGAGCTGCCAGAATTGCAAGACTCAACAACTGAGTCTTGCAGCTCACTCTCTTTGGCAGGTGTCAAAGCCCTGTCCGCGGTGAGGTCGCTTCCTCTTTTCGAGCTTCTTCAGTGTTCGTCCTGCACTAAACATCCGCAGGAGGAAAGGCCCGTCGAAAAGCATTCAGTTCCGTTGAGTAGTAGGTTCTCGGAGGCTAACAACAGCTTCTGAGGTTCCGTCTGCCACGCGCTCCGCTTGACGGCCGCAAGACACACACAAACAAAGAGCGACAATATGTGTGTGCATATATATATATATATCTCTATTTATTTATTTAAATTATATATATATATAATGTCTTTATTTGTTTATGTACATTCATCTATAGAACAGAGTTGCATATATACATATAAATAAATGAATAAATATATATATATATATATAACACAATGTGTATATAGACGTACACATGAGTGCTTGGTTCCTTTGCTTCTGAGGGAGGGTTGGATAACATGGCCTCGCAGCTTCGGCAGGGCAGGGAAAAATGTGTGTCTATGCATATATATATATATATATATACATACAATACACACAGATATATATATATATATCCAGCTGGCAAGCGTGGGCTTCTTGGCAAGCGTTCGTTTCACCCGCGCTCGCGTTTAAGATAGATGCAGTAGCGATATGAGCCAGCGATCATCTGCTGGCAGCCCGTGAACCAGCGGTCCCAATCCGTGTGGACCCGTCGTGTTGTCAAAGTTGGAATGCTGATCCAACCCTACGCAGGTCCCAAAGAAGGTCCTGGGGGCGAAGCGGATGTTTGACAAAGCATTGTGGTCCAGCGTGGTGAAACGTGCAGGAATGGATTGCCATCGCTTTGTGGGTATCGTCTATATAGGGTCTAGCACAAGCCTGCAGGCTGCCAGGTTAGTGAGGAGACTACGAGCACGGCTCCCCTGACCTTTTCTCCCGCTACCAAGAAAGTTTACTGGGAACGGCCCCCTCGGCCTCTCGTAGCAGCAGACATGCTGTGAAGCAGTACATTGTCGTGGAAGGGTGCTTTGATGTTCAAAGATTCAGGTCATTTAAACCCTAAACCCTAAACCCTAAACCCTAAACCCTAAACCCTAAACCCCTGCTTGTGGGCCCCCAAAGCTGCCAGTTGCCAGGTTGCGACGGCCCACCAGCTGGGGCCTTGCTGTAATGTGCAGAGGGTAATGCAGCTGAGTCAACTACCCAGACTTTTCGGAGCCAAAAAGCAGAACCCCCGAATCGTACCCGACACTATCGGGTCACTTCTTAGGAACCGTTAAGGGGATCTGCTTTTTGGATCCTTGCAAGGGTCTGGGTTTCCAGGGGTCTGGGTGTTCAGGTGCGCGAATGTAGTCCTAGTCGTGGTGTGTGTAGCTGCATGCCCACTTTGTTCAGTTCTACACTCAGGCCCGATAGGGTGTGAGAAGCGTCTGGCGTCGCTCTTCCGCAAAGAAAGGCTCCAGGGCACTGCCATGGTTTTCCCTTAGCGCTCTGCGCGAGCAATGGGAAACGCCTGCCCACACAGGCCTTTCACGCCACGTTGCAGGGCACCAAGGGTTTAGGGTTTAGGGGTTAGGGGTTTAGGGTTTAGGGTTTCGGGTGTTGGGTTTAGGGTTTAGGGTAACAGACTGGAGCTAACCAGAAGGATGTCGAGCACAGAACGCAACGCAACCGCCTAGCAAGTCGATCGTCCCCCCTGCAGGCGCGCAGCCGAGGAGCCTATCCGAAGAGTCTCCCTGAACGAGGTTCGCTCTCGTGGCTGGGTAGTCATCTTCGGCAAGGTCTATGACTTGAAGCTTGGCAGGAGCCCTTTTAGAGGCCTCTTGGGGCACACTCAGATTCTGGCAGGTCACGCGCAGAGGCAAGCTATAAGGGTTCCACGCACGAGCTCGCCGAGAAAAGGCGGAAACAGAAAAGCCATCATCCCGGGCTCACCATTGGCTGTGAATGAGAGCCCCTTGCAAGGAAAAGCTGCAGAGTGAGCTCCCTCCCACGCTCGAAGAACTCTGTTGCGGATGTGTATTATTTTGCGAATGCCGCACATACTCGGACCGGACTTTCAACCTCTGAGACCCTACACCCGAAGCGCAGCTTGCAAGATGCAACGAAAAGCCCCCCCAGCTTTTGGCTCCTCGAAGTTCTGGCTCCAGGGCTTTTTTTCATGGTGTAAGGTTTAATAGGTTTAAGGTTTACCCCCTAAACCCTAAACCCTAAATTAGGCAAGAAGCAAAACCCCGCCCCCTGCAACATACGTTTAAACTGTTTCGGGGGGGCTTGGTGGAATGCGCCCCGCACAGCCCACATTCAGCTCTACCACAATGGGTATCTCTGGAGGAGCCAGCATCTTGCAATTGACCCCCATGCAAAGTTGCAAGTTTGCTGCTTGCAGCAGCCGGACACCCAAGACCACGACCTGCTGGTGTGCGCAACGCAACGCAACGCACGTGCTCTTCTGCTGTTGCTCAGTACCAGTAGAACCTGCTCGAAGCTGTGCAAACCGCCCTAAAAACCCCTCCTATAAACCCTAAACCCCCCAAACGCTAAACCCTAAACCCTTGTGAAAACCCTAAACCGCAAACCCCCACCCACCCCCTCCCTGCCTAAGGAGCGAGTATGTTGAGAGGCATCCTGGAGGGGCAGACCTTTTGCCTTTCGGCAGAAAAATCGAGAAAAGGCTGGCCAGGTTTTAAAGGGTTTGGGGTTTAAGGTATAGGGTTTAGGGTTTCGGGCAAAGTTTACGGCTGTTGCTGGCAGTGTGGCACCTCCTTCGGCCGTTGCCCGTTTTAGAGCCGTCTCGTCGTCCAGAATGTAATCAGCTTGCTGGCCTTCTTGATCTTCGCAGATTCAGCAGGATCCCAACGAGTCTGTTGCGAGCTCCGTACTCTGACCCAAAACCCTAAACCCTAAACCCTAAACCCTGCACCTGAGGTTAGGCGTGGCTGGCAGAGATGCCACGGTAGAGTTTGAGACCATGCGCCATTCAAGCGCAGCAACCTTGCAGATGGAGAAGCTTTTCGCCCCTGGGCGGTAAAGAGATGATCGCCTTCCATGCGGCACTTCTCTTCTTCTGCATAATTTCTGTACAACCCTACGGTCCTAAACCCTGAACCCAAAACCCTAAACCCTAAGCCAATCTTACCCAGGTTGGGCTTTGCGATTCTGTCAAGAGCAGTGAGTCCAACGAGCCGGCCAAGCCACTGCAGCTTACGGGCGGACGGCAAATCAGCCGACCCAAGCTTAAACAGGCACTGTCATGTGAGATGGGTGACACACGGTCAGTCAGTGTGCGTGTGAAAGTGTGAGTGTGGGTGTGTTTGTGTGTGTGTGAGAGAGTGTGAGTGTGTTAGACAGAGAGTGTGTGTGTGTGAGTGTGTGAGACAGAGAGGGAGAGTGTGTTTGTCTGTGTGTCTCTGTGTGTGTCTCTGTGTGTGTCTCTGTGTGTGTCTCTGTGTGTGTCTCTGTGTGTGTCTCTGTGTGTGTCTCTGTCTGTGTGTGTCTCTGTGTGTGTGTGTGTCTCTGTGTGTGTGTCTCTGTGTGTGTGTCTCTGTGTGTGTGTCTCTGTGTGTGTGTCTCTGTGTGTGTGTCTCTGTGTGTGTGTGTCTCTGTGTGTGTGTCTCTGTGTGTGTGTGTGTCTCTGTGTGTGTGTGTCTCTGTGTGTCTCTGTGTGTCTCTGTGTGTGTGTCTCTGTGTGTGTGTGTCTCTGTGTGTGTGTCTCTGTGTGTGTGTCTCTGTGTGTGTGTGTGTGTGTGTGTGTGTGTCTCTGTGTGTCTCTGTGTGTGTCTGTGTGTGTCTGTGTGTGTGTCTCTGTGTCTCTGTGTGTGTGTGTGTGTGTGTGTGTCTCTGTGTGTGTGTGTCTCTGTGTGTGTGTGTGTCTCTGTGTGTGTGTCTCTGTGTGTGTCTCTGTGTGTCTCTCTGTGTCTCTCTGTGTCTCTTTGTGTCTCTCTGTGTGTCTCTGTGTCTATATGTGTGTGTCTATATGTGAGTGTGTCTATATGTGAGTGTGTCTATATGTGTGTGTCTATATGTGTGTGTCTATATGTGTGTGTCTACGTGTGTGTGTCTATGTGTGTGTGTGCGTGTGTTGAGTTGTGGGGGGGGGGGGGAAAGCGGCGGTCAAGGAAAATCAGGGACACCGTGCTCAACCTATTGTTGTCACTGCATGAGCCGCGATGATCGCGCACAAGCAAGTGGGGTCATGATCAACATGTGTCCATATGTGTCTTGCTGTCAGGCCGGCGAGCGTGTGCTGCTTTAGGAAGTCCCCGCATGACGCAGATCCGAAAGCAATGCCCACTGCCGAGAGCCTTCTTGAGCCAGATGCAGTGATGCAGGTGGACGCGTGGTGGAATGTCAAAGAATGTGGCTTTCTTCCATGCGCAGATCCAGCGTCTCCTCTGCACTTCTCATAGGGTTATGCGGGACACGCAACACGACAAGTCCAAAACGCGGGGTTGCTTGTCGCTTGCCCAAGGTGAAAGTCTTACCTGCGCCGTGGGACCGACTGGTGAGGATGTCTGTGCCTGGATCGGGAACTGTTGTGTGAGACAAGCCATTCGCAGAGAGCGGAGAGATGTCCTGAGCAGCCATACGCAGAGGGTCACACCAAGCAAGTTCAAGCTAGGTACGTAGACTTGAACCCTAAGCAGCATAACCCAGCGGGCTATACTCATGAATCAATAAGTTTTAATTGCCTGCTCAGGAAGTACTGCCGACGCTGACCGTCCACGGCATGTTCCGCACAGTCGCAGAACAAGAGTTGCCTTGGATGCAGATCGAGCTGGGTGTAAAAAACATATCGTGATGTGAGTCGTGGTGGCTCCTATACGCCCCCCCCCCCCCTTCCCGATCACACTCATGTGCATGTTTGCTTGCTTGGAGCCTTCGAGTAGTGTGGATACCATCCTGGGGGGGCCGAAATCAACACGCAGGGCATGCCCGAAAAGCAGCCGTAAATTTGCGGGTGGGGATCGACTGAGGCTCCGCGACGTGCTGCCCTGCAGCCAGGCAGACGTCAAGGACACCCGCAGCACGGCAATACCACACCTAGAGTTTGAGAGAGGCCAGCAGTTCGTTGGAGGGTGGCCCAGCTTTACAGAGTCATGCAGGGCAAGCAGATCCCACTTGCAGCGAGTGCTTGATAGCAAGCAGACGCAAGAACACATGAAGTTGCAAAGGGCTGCAGTCCATAGCTGCATGAGGAACCAACCCTGCACCCTGTAGTAACCAGTTGCAGAGGGTGCAGAACAGCTTGAGCTTCTTTGGAGGAGGCTCTGGAGGTCCTCACTGAAGGCGAGGCTGAGTGCCTTCACTCGCTACTAGGCCTGGGGCTTTGTTTTCTTGCGGGGGGGGGGGGGGGGGTGGGGCGGCTTAGGGTGCACCAGGGTTGAGGGTTTAGGGTTTAGGGAGTCCAGCTATCACCTCAAGTGATGGTTCCGGGAAGTGAGCCTTCAGAAGATCCGCATGCGGAATGCTCGGAGGATACATTTGCCTCGCCTACCTGCACGGCCCCACGGATGTCTACGAGAAGGGCCAGACGGTGAAGCTGGACATCCTTGGCCCCACGGCTCAGTGAAATCATCACGCAGGATCAACGAGATCTTGTCGTTAGATGTCATGTGTTCTCAGGCCATTCAGCTACTCATTGCTTAAGAACCCAGAAAAAAATAGAAAATATTCTTCCTTGTTAAGGCTAATATAGGGATGATTGTTTTTTATTCTTTTGGGGTTCTTAAGCAAACAATAGTCAGAGTAGGAAAGGCAGGGGACCTTGACCATGCGAGGCCGGCGCCCTCACCTGGATCACCTGCCCGCGTGGCTATCGATGCCATGGGTTGGTGTGAGTGCACCTCGGCAGACCCCTAAACCCTAAACCCTAAACCCTAAACCCTAAACCCTAAACCCTAAACCCTAAACCCTAAGTGGAAGCCTCCGCCTTGAGACTCCAGCGTCCCTTCGTTCTGTCCTTTGCACACCAAAGTTGGCCAGGAGAGGTTGCAGAGGCGCCCTATGCTTGACTATGCCGGCTGCGTGCTGAACAACTGGGAGCGCCTGGACCCCACAGGCCTGCACAGAGTTTAGGGTTTAGGGTTTAGGGTTTAGGGTTTAGGGGAGAGAGGGAGAGAGGGAGAGAGGGAGAGACCCTTCGCAAGAGGAATTCGCTTCAAGTCTATGGCGGGTGTCCAACCTCCTCCGCCTTGCATGGTTGTTGATGTTGCTGCATTCTGATTCCGTCGACTCTGAGGCATGCAGGTAGGTACTGTAGGTAGAGTATAGGTAGGTATAGTATCTAACCCTAAACCCTAAACCCTATAAACCCTAAAGGTACAGGTAGGTAGCTCTGTGTGTGTGTATGACTGTGATCCCTAAAGCCCTCAACCCGACGCAGGTCCCATCAAGCCCTCCAACTTGCGGCTCCTCCGCCGCTTCACGGGGCTCCTGGATGAAAGGGGAGGGCGGGTTTGGGGTTTAGGGTTTAGGGTTTAGGGCTTAGGGATGTTAAGGGTTTTAAAGGATCGGCATCCTCTGATCCTAAGGTTGGTGGACGAGGAGTGGTTCTTCAAAACCCACATTATCATCGAGTCCGAGGGGGGCCACGTCATCAGTAGCTTGGAGGCGGCGACGGACCCTGATCTCCCTTCTGTCTCCAGAGCTTCCATTGTTGCTCCATGGAAACCCTAAACCCTAAACCCTAAACCCTAAACATGGAGTGTTTGTGGCTGAAGGCCATCTCTTCTTCGATGAGAGACGAGAACATCCACAACCTGCGACCTGCTTTGAAGCCTTGAGCTGGGTTTAGGGTTTAGGGTTTAGGGTTTAGGGTTTAGGGTTTAGGGTTTAGGGTTTAGGGTTTAGGGTTTAGGGTTTAGGGTTTAGGGTTTAGGTCCAGCATGAGCTTAAGCTGCTAAGGTTGCAAGAGCTCCACACCTTGGAAGAGGCCCTCTGGAGGCTTGCATCTGTTTGCTTGCCCATCATGCCCCTTGGCGAAGAGGTCCAGGAGCAGTTCAAAGCGTGGGCGCGATATAGAGGGTGCGTAGAGACTCAATCTCGAGCGTGACGTCGCCGCAGAACAAACATCATCGGGTTGAGGTTTGGGCTGAAGCCGTGACACCGGTTTTAGAGCTGTTTGCTGACTTTGCCTTAGTGCTGGTATGCTATGACATTTTGGGTTTCCCAGCTCAGACTCAAGAGCGCCCGAAGTGTCTGAATGTTCAGCAGATGCTGCAGCTTAAGAAGCCTTCTCTTAAACCCTACACTGAATCAGCTTCTCTGCAATTTCTGCAACTTCCACTGTCCCAGGTTTGCCCGGTCACCTGCCGACCATGCGCTGATGTGTGAGCCTTTCCTTTTCTTCTTTCGGCTGCGCCCGTGCCCTGGGGAGGTTTTTTTTTTTTTTTGGGGGGGGGGGGGGGGGGTTGTAGATGTTCATGGGGTGGAGGTTTAGTAGGGTTTAGGGGTACTGTTGAGGCGCGTTAAGACGACAAACAGCGAGAACCCTCCCTGACACAGTGCCCTTGCCTGGAATCCCTAAACCCCAAACCCCAAACCCTAAACCCTAAACCCTGAACCCTAAACCCTAAACCCTCCGACATTTACAGGTACATCAAGTCGGTCAAGGTCAGGATGGACGGTGGCAATGGCGAAGAGGAGTTCTTGGTCTTCACGTGGAGTTCAGATACCGCCTTGGGGATCAGTTGCCGAATTTTTGTGCTGGTTTTAGGGTTTAGGGTTTAGGGTTCAGGGTTTAGGGTTAGTTAACAGCTTCATAGCAGCGATAGCCATCATACTTAGGGACAGTTTATGCCAGTTATTGACATAGCTGGACCTCCAGATCCCGAAATGTTGGGGAGGCAGGCCAACACGGCAAGCAGTTTTGCGATCTTAGCAAGATGTCCAATAGCCCGAGTCCGAGCGCTTCGAAAATTTCAGGTTCAGCTTGAACGGGCCCTCGGGCGCCATGAGTACCATCCTTCCTGCCTCCCGGCCGCTCTAGACAAAGCAGCGACTTCGGGCCAGGGGTACAATAGGTCGGATCACTGGCAATTGGTTGATGGTCAGCTACAAGGTGCCCAGGATTTCCAAAAATACTGTCGCGTGCCCCCTTTTTGAGGGTTCCTATAGTGAGGATTCGAGTTTACAAAGGGCTTCCCTTGTTTTGTGACACTCCCACATGGTGTTGATCAGCGATTTTTTTTTGCATAGCCTGAAACAGCCATTCGTTGTACTTGCAAGCGAGCTGTCTCGACTGTAGTGGCCAGAAGTTGTTACGTTGTCCCCTGATGATAGTGCAGATACCACCCCCTCCCCACACCATTGGGTATCCCCCATAGCATGGTGGGGTGTCTGCAAGCTACGGTCGGGAGTGCGAGTTTTGGTTCAGGATTCGTTTTAGCTGGCCACTTCGCCGAAATCCATGGACGACCGAAGAAACTTGATACACTTCTCAGGCTGTGGATGCCTTGTTGGGCATCCAGAACACGTCTGCCGAGCTCCGCGAGGCTGTGAAAGCTTTCGAGGCCCCGCCATGTGCTGAAGGTTTCCGCGCGATTCCGAGTATAGGGGATTTGGGGTTTAGTGTTGAGGGTTCAAAGGCTCCTCTCGCCTCCTGCTGTCTGCTCTTCGTAGGCTCTTCTGTTTGGGCACCATCATTGTTGTTGCTTGAGAGTCTTCTTCCCCACCTGCTGCTCCAGGCCCATGGGGTGGAAGTGCCCTTTCGACTTGCTTTTGGCGCAAAAGTCTGCTGTCGTGCTCCCATGGAGAGGTTTGTCCAAGTGTGTGTGTGTCCCATGACTTGTGTCAAGTGCTCTTTCGGCAGGGCACGGTGCTCCCAGTGCCGTGTCCAGAAACGCCTGAGGTCTCACAGGAGATTCGGAGCCAACACCACCCGAGCACCTCTAGTTAGGACCATGGTGGCCTGCCCACTCTCACGGTTTGCAAAGCGCGAATCTGCGCTCACTTACGTGGGCCGCAGTCCCTGTGCAGGCCTATGTCCCCAAAGAGCACCGCCAGTTTTTGGATCGGCTACGCAACGCACCACAGTCCGCTGGACTGATCTACAACTATAGACGAAGATGGCTGGAAGAATGATTGAACCTGCTAGCCGCCAAGTGCTGCCTACATAAAGTGCACGCAAGAACCTTGATGAGTCCACACTGTGCTGATGTCAACAGTCTGAACGCATCCATGTGTGCTAGCTGCTCTTGTAGGGCCCAAATATGAGGGCGTGATCAGCACTTCTTTAAGCAGCCCACGCCAAGTGTCTCACAAACGCCGCACTTGGTGTTGCCACACAGCCTTTCTGTGCCCGCTGAAGCTGCCATCAGCTGCCTGCAACATCTGAGGAGCGTAAAGCGGTTCGTCGAGTCCCGCAAGGACTCCTTAGAGGAGAAGACGTGGTACGCCCTGGCAGGCCATCTCGCTGATAAAAAGAAGCATTCCCAAAAGCACCTGCCCCCCCTCTCTCGATGTGGCAGCGCTGAAGGCGATGAATTCGGACGGCCAAGCATTGTGGCATGATCCACACTGGGTGGTTGAAGTTGTCTCCAACTGTAGCTAATATAATCACAGAAAAGAAGCGAAAGGCGTGCTATGTATATGTATATATATATACAGACATATATATATATATATACATATATACATAATATATATATATATGCTCATATACATGTTTATTTACATTGGGCACGGGCCCAAAGCTCCTGAACTGTGCGTTCCAGGTGCCTTCAATGCCTGTATCTCACGTGTGCTCGACTTCCGGTGGAGGACTGGGGCCTTACACAAATGAGCCCTAAACCCTAAACCCTAAACCCTATGTTTGCAGATGGTCGTCAGTGTTGAGATCATGTACTACATGGCTATAGCTACTATAGCACATCTGATAGCTGATAGATCCGTCGCTTCAGCGGGCTTCTCGCCATTGAAACCGCAGGCACTGGAGCTTCGTGGAGCAGTTCATCGTGCGGCCGTCGAGTGGCGGATTCTCAGCAAGTGCGGGCTCGGTCTGTCCCGTGATCCATGCAGACAGCACCATGGAGCGAAGTCAGCCTCAGGGTAAGGTTTGGGCATCCATTCCATGAATTCCCAATGGACCAGCATGTTTTTTCAGCTGAGGCAGCCCTGGGGGGATGCCACCGTCTGTGGTGGGAACAGGTCCGGCTTTGAAGTACACGAAAGGAAGGCCTCCCCATGCAAGCTTCCAAGCTCAACAGGAGGGACGACTTTCGATTACCTCCAGCAGCACATCACGGACTCTCAGATGGCCAGGATCCCTCTATGGTCGAAACGAGGATGCAGTGCATGGTGCCGTGTGGCTGTTTAGGGTTTAGGGTTTAGGGTCTAGGGTTTAGGGTTTAAGGAAGGCCGAACTCATTCTAAACCCTAAACCCTATAAACCCTAAACCCTAAACCCTAATTCTCCGACCAATGTACCCCGCATTGCTGTGGCTAGTCGGGTGGCAAAAAAAACCCTAATTAAACCCTAAACCCTAAACCCTAAACCCTAAACCCTAAACCCTAAGCCAAGGAAGGCCGAACTCATTCAGCGCACGCCGGAGCTTCAGGCGCCAGTCCAACTACCGTAGCGTTCGCATCGAGGGCGCGATTGCTAAGTGTCTGGCTGGCCAGCCAATGCCAGCCATGTTTTACTGTGCGGAAACACACGAATAAGAGTAGCAACAACTCATGTTTATTAGTTTCTTTGATTGATCGGGCATGTTCCGAAGCATCAGGCCGCCGCCGCAACGATCGGGAACTTGCCAGATTGCCCACCTCTCAGCGAGGCTGGGCTGCTTCTGCTCCCTTGGGGGGGTTACGATCTTTGGGGGGCACGTGCCTAAATTGGGGTCCTTGTTATAAGGGGCTCCTACAAAAGGGGGTCTATATTAGGGGTCCCCTATTTTCGAAACCCCCCACTTCTTTCTCTGACTTTCTCTGTTTGCCGATAGATGGATTAAACAGCATGCATGCAGAGAGACACGCCTGCGAGTAGGTCCGACTCTTATAACACTGTAAGTGCAATTCGGTTTCGTCGATTCTCACGGCTCTCCAAACCCAGATAATGTTCCTTTGCCGCAGGATGGCCTATGGGATGCGACAGGGCCAAACGGCTTTGTGACGCATCGCATCTCATCGCTGTTCAAGACGGAACTGTTCTAAAGCTGTTCTACAACCCTGTGTTCTCCTTGTTGGTCTTTGAGCGAGTGCAACTGTAAACGGGCATGCCTTGTAATTACCTCGCATACTTTTGGCAGAAGGCCAGTCGGGCTGGGACCATTGTCATGTGGGGCGCTGCATAGGGAGCACAGCTGCTGACTGTGCACTTCAGGGTTCAGAGCAAGGATCTCCGAAGTTGAAATGTGCTGTGTAGTTTCCTCTTATGATGGTCAGGTGTTTTCCCCCCCCCCCCCCCCCCCCCCCCCCCCCCCCCCCCCCCCCCCCCCCCCCCCCCGGTGATTGTCTTCAAAGCTCAGGCTTGGGTGCCCTGAATGGCTGGTGCTCGGGCTTCCAAGCGCCCCATCCAGGATGCAAAGCTCCACGGCTGGATGTTCGCATGTCCCCCCAGTGCTCTGCTACAGAGTCAGAAGGAGTATACATCGAAAAGGACCTCATTGTACTGCCTACATGGTGGAACAGCCCCGAACCGACGCCAAATTCGGATAGAAAACCCGGCTTTAGCTTTGAGCAGCGGGATAAAGATCGTATCTGCATGTACGATGAGTTCCCCAAGCTTTGGCTAAACCCGAAACCCTCTTGTACCCGAGGCCTTGGCTCACCTGTCAGCAAGCATCCCCACGTGCCTCGGCAATCGGACGCCTCGATGGCTTTGCCTGAAAGTCTAAGAATGCTTTTCGAATCAAGCTGAGCGATATTCGAACGACAAAGCCACGGGCCCTTCAAATTTTGTAATTTGGCAAGGGTGCGACAGTGACCTGCATGAAGCATGCATCACATCTTGTTGTCGCAGTTCTCTGCGCAGTTTGGTGTACTTGCCCATTTTTATATAGGGCAGAAGCTGGGTTTCTGCAATGCATCTAAGAGCTCCCATTGAGGGTGCTGTGCTGGCTGAGGTATTGCTTTTCGTGCCACGAGGAAGTTGGAGACCAGACGACCACTCACCCCTTTGTTGCCACTCCGAGCCAATATTCGTGGAGTGCATCGCAGATTTTTTTTTTTGGGAGTGGGGGGGAGGGTGGGGGCTTCGAGTTCTTAGTGTAGCACGCAGCAGCCCCTTCACCCCCAAAACGCCCCGGGAACGTCAGTTCAGCCATGCAGATGGCCTTAATACCAAATCCTGAACCCAAAAACCCTAATCGGAAAGCCCTAAAACCCTAAACCCCTGTGGCTATCTTTCCGCTTTCAACCCTAAACCCCACAAACCCTAAAGCCCCACTATGTGTCAAGGCAAGGTGCGACGCGTGCCAGACGGAGCTGGCCTCTCTGTTTGCATTTCCAGGTGCCTGTAAATATTGTAAATATTTTAGGGGGGGGGGGAGGGGATGGAGCGGGGGGAGGGTTGCAGGGTTGCGAAACTAAGGTACCTCTGGGGATTGTAGTATATTGGGGTGTATATTCAGGGTATCCCCTGTAAAAACCCAAACCCTACAGAATTTTAGTAGTTTCAACTAAAACTGGTTTTACCCAGTGTATGGCGGAAATAGCTGTTTAAGGGTATGGTGGGCGAGAATTGGAAGATGCCTTTTTTCAGTCCTGTGATTGCGTTTGTCATTTTCTGAGATAGCGTTTTTCTATGTTTCGTGGGTGGTAGGTTGATGCTCCTGCGACGGCGCGCAGAGCATGTACGATGTCTCGATGAGCGCACCAACGAAGATCGACCTGCAAACCTACAAAACTTAAATCCTTAATGCCATGGACCCTAAACCCTAAGACGCTAAAACCAACACTGAACTGTGGCCACGGTGCAGAGCATGTATGATGCCTCGTAGACAAGCCAAATCCTTGTGTAGACGCTTTAACCCAAGCCCTAAACCCTAAACAGAGCTCTTGCCACAGCTCCCTGACTGTGCTTCGAAGATCGGCTACTCTCCAGTCCCACCACCCTATAAAGCCTTCAAAGCCGAGGCCCTTATCACTAGACCTTAAACTTAAGCCTTAAACCCTACAACCCTAAACCCTGAATAGTAAACCCCAAACCCTCCACCGGGGGGGAGGGGGCGGGAGGCGGGCAGGGAGGGGGGGCGGAGGGGAACAGAGAGGGCGGGGGGGAGGGCAGAGGCGGAGGGCAATTTTCAGAGCGCAAATAGCGTCTTTTTTGAAAAACATCGGGCAAAAGAGATGGCGGAAATACGCGGCGAGATGGCGGAAATCGGCGGTCAAATGGCGGAAACGCCGGAATCCAATTTTTCGGGCCAGCCTGTAGTTTCAGTTTCTCGGTTTTGAAATGGCAGAAATCCCGGGAGAGGCCGCAAACTTCGAGACATCAGCTGCATGCTGTCTGCCAGCTTGCTCGAGGGTTTAGGGTTTAGGCACTATGGTCAATTTGGCTGCAAGTATACGGGTTTGAGGAGCCTGTGTGGCGCGGATGGGGTTCCGGGTGTTAGAAGGGTTTATGTTTAAGGTCTACTGGGTGTGTGTTCATTGAGGTGTTGAGCCATTGATCCAGGTTTGGTTTCGGTTCTACCGCGCTTCTGGAAGCTTATAACGTGACACAGTCTGAAACGCTACAGCCCGTGCGAAAACCCGGCGTCAATTACCTGCTGCTTGGGAGCAGTGCAGTGCATGAACATCATGCCCCAAAAATGCAACTGCAGCCCACACAAGCCCTCAACCAATGGGATGCTCCGAGGCTTCGATGGGGTGTCATGAGTGAGGTTTCAGGTCAAGGTATTGCCAGAGTTCAGGCTGAGTTTCTGGCCCTGTAATGTTGTTGTAACCAAGTCCAGGATCAAGGCCACAGAACCACGGCGCCGGTTTTTGGCCGCTGCGCTGCATGGCTCTGGGGAAGCCTCAAGCTCATCTGATGAGTTGGAAGACGTGGCAATTTCTCCTGGGTCTCCTCTAGCTGATATTCCGAGTCAAGCTTCGCTCTCGGCACCGCCTACGCCTCAAGCGCTTCGTCAGGCTCGGCAAGATCGTGGACGTTCCCCAGTTCTGCCCCCTATGGGAGCTTGTCGCACGGCTGCAAGGGCAAGTGCTCTGGCCCGCAGTCGGTCCCCACCTTGTGGCTCTGCTCATCGGCTTGCGCCTCAGTTCTGCTCGTATCCGGCTTGGCAGGCTCTGGTAGCGCGAGTCGACCATCTGGAAAACGCGGTTGGTCTTTCCATGGGTCCTTTGCAACATGATCAGGCTTCAAAGGGTACAGTGCCTACGCCGCCAGCTACTCTTCTGGAAACGGACACTTCGGCTGCGCCGGCGCCGAATGCTTTATCTTCGACGCCATTGGTCAATGCGGACTCTGAGCATCCTATTGCTTTGAGCAGTGTGCGCTGGGTGATTCTTCGCCTGACATCCTGGTCTAATGCTGATCTGGTGCAGATGCCGCCGCAACGTCTTTTTCGCATTTTGTGGATCTTATGGGCTGAGGGCCGTCTGCAAAACGAGCCGGCCGAGATTCAATATTAGGCTGCCCAGGATCATCTTCCGCCGAGTTTTGCTCCTGACACCCCCCCGATTCCTTAATCGGGCTGCGACGGTTCATCTTGAGGCGGCTGCTACTTGCATCTAGGTCTCCAGGACTCCATAGTTTGGTCAATTGACTCACGCTTGTACAGAGCATGTTTTTTGAGTGCTGAATTTTGTCGTGAGCCTCGACCTTTATCACTCTGAGCATTCGCAAAATCCCCGCTCTACCGCGCATGGCCAAATGCAAGTTTTTAAAATCTGAAATGCCGTTTTTGTTTTTGACATTCCGTTTTTTCGGAAGAACCCACCACACAACATTTCAGTTTTTGCCTGGCAAACCTGAAAGCCAAAAACTTCAACATTTTCAATTTTCCCAGGAGATGGCGGAAATGTTGCAATTTCCTCCTCATGGGTTTTTTTTGAGACTCAGGGCTTGCTAGGCCCTATTTGAGGGCATGTTATTTTGCTGGGCTACTTCCAGAATGCCCTACCACCTCTGCATCAAAAGTATGCGCGAGCTTTGCTTCTGAAATTCTTGCCTTGGAGTTGCTCCCCAACAAATACACAGGCTTGTTGATTGGAATTGGTGTTGGGTAGCGCTGGTAGCATTCCGTGAAGGACACCTGACGTAGTTGCATTGGCAATAAATCCCTTCTTGTATATACATATTTGTACTTCTTGTATGTATATATATATATATTTATTTATTTATTCATTGACTGATTTTTATATTTATTTCTTTATACATATAAACACCTATATATATATATATATATATGCTCACCCCCCCCCCCCCATGATCTAGGTCGAAAGGCCTTTCGGGCCCATCGAAGCGAGATTTAAACCTAAGTCGGAATGAAAATTAAAAGGCCACTGGCCTCATTCGTAGTAAAAATTTTTTTAGAAATCTAAATTTGCCAATTAAAAGCCGCACCCTATGAAATCCTCTTCTGGGGCCTGCCTGTCCGTAACAAAATCTCACAAGAGCTTTATATGCAGAGGTTACAGCCTCAGAAATCCTCATCTGGGCTTCCTGCCTATTTTATTGAGAAAATGCTTCTACATAAGAAGCCCACACCCTACGAAAAGAATTCTATACTTAAAGGCCACACCCTATGAAATCCTCTTCTGGGCCCTCTTAATGAAATTTCAGTAGACTTGTGTCTGATAAAGCCACAGCTTCGTTCGTAATTAACCCAAGTAAAAAAACATATTAAGAGGCCCAGCCCCAAGACATCCTCTTCTAAGCCTCATTGATTAATACCTATTTAGAACATTTTTGTTTTTCCCACACCCTGTGAAATCTTTCGCTGGCCCCATTCGTAATGAAACGCAATTTGATTTCATATTGTAAGCCCACACCCTAAGAAATCCTCTTCTGGGCTTCGTTCGTAATTGAACCCAAGTAAAGCAAGTGTATATTCAGAGGCCAACCCCAGGACATCCTCCTCGCAATGAAACCGAGTTAGAATTCTATATTGCAGACCATACCCTATGAAATCCCTTTCTGGCCCCTATTTGTAATGAAGATTAATTAGAATTCTGTATTACAAAGCCACACGCCAAGAAATCCTCATTAGACCTTCGTTTGTAATTAGACTTATTTTCGATTTGCCAAGATGCTTGTATTAAAAAAAGCCACACCATTCTGGGGCCTGTTCGTAACAGAATCTCGTAAGAAGTTTATAATGCTAGGTAAGAAGCCCACACCCTAAGAAGTTCTGACCTAGGCTAGGTTCGTATGTAACTCTTGGACAGAAATTTATATCATGAGCCCCCATTCGTATTTGAATGTACTTACAATTCCATATTTAACCGCTAGACCCTATGAAATCCTCTTCTGGTGCCTATTAGTGAAATGTCAATAGACTTGTATATGATAAAGCCATAGCTTCGTTAGTAAATTAAACCCAAGTCAAACAAACAAATTAAGAGGCCCCGCCACAAGACATCCTCTTCTAAGCTTCATTGGTTAATACCTATTTGGAATTCTATTTTGCAGACCACACCCTATGAAATTCTCCCCTGGCCTCGCTTCATACTACAATGTTATTTGAGGTTTGTATTAAAACGCCACACCCTAAGAAATCCTCATCTGGACTCGTTTGGAATTCCACTTAAATTGAATTTTAAGTTTAGAGGCCACACCCCTTTGGACAGAATTTAAAAGGCCACACCCTAAGACCTGTGTATGGTAAAGCCACAGCTTCGTTCGTAAAACCAAACCAAGTAAAACAATTAAGAGGCCACGCCCTTCTAAGCCTCATTCGTTACTACCTCTTTGGAATTTTATTTTACCGACCACACCCTGTGAAAGTCTCCTCTGGCCCCGCTTCGTAATGAAATGTAATTTGAGGTTTGCACTAAAACACCACACCCTAAGAAATCCTCAACTGGACTTCCTTTGTGATTCCACTTAAATAGACGTTTAAATTAAGAGGCCACACCCCAAGACATCCTCTTCGAAGCCCCACTCTTTTTTAAGTCCAATTAGACTTTTGAATTGCAGGTCCACATCCTCAAAAGAACCACACCCTAAGAAACCCTCTCTATTTCTTTTTTTTATTACTTTTCATATTAAGACGCCACATCCCAAGACATCCTCTTCTAAGCCTCATTCGTAATTAAATCTAATGGAACTTTACATGTTAACGCCACGCCCTGCATACCGAATAGGCTGAATTGAAAAAAAACGAATGGTGGGTGTGTTTGTGTGCTTTTCTCTGTGTGTGTGCAAGGCAGTCACATTAGCAGAAACAACGTATAACAATACACATTCTTTATACAAGAAAAGCATTTTTTGCAAAATTTGCTTAAAAAAAAAAACCCAAAATCCAAAAATCCAAAAATTCAAAACCATGGAGCCGGGAGGCCGCCTTTTTTGGAATTTTTTGGTTTTCTCGAGGTTTTTTTGGTGTTTTTTGGAAAAATCCAACAAAAACCATGGTTTTTTTTATTTTACTTGCTCCTGGCCTCAAAAACATAAAAACACATGGTTTTTTTGGATTTTGAGTGAAAATCCAAAAAATACCATGTGTTTTTTTTAGTTTCTGAGACCAGGAGCACCTGAAATCCAAAAAAACACGAGGGTTTTTTTGGATTTTCACTCAAAATCCAAAAAAAAACATGTGTTTTTTAGGTTTTGAGGCCAGGAGCAAGTAAAATCCAAAAAAAACCAGGGTTTTTTTTGGATTTTTCCAAAAAAACCCCAAAAAACCTCGAGAAAACCAAAAAATCCAAAAAAGGCGGCCTCCCGGCTCCATGGTTTTGAGTTTTTGGATTTTTGGATTTTTGGATTTGTGTCAAAATTTGCAAATTCTGCAAAAAAGAAGTGTTTTTTGCATACAATTCTGTGTTTATAAGCCTGTCCTATGCAAATAATTCATAGACATGTTTACCAAATTGCATTTTCCTGTTTTTTGGGGTGTTTTTTTATGTGGTGATGTGGAAGTAGTGCTAAACACACGCGTTTTTCACTATTTACAGGTTTTCTCGCATGGGACTAGACGTGCAAAAACAGGACATCGCCTAGCATAGCCAGCGTGTCATTTTAATCGGTATTTACGAGGGTTTTTATAGGGACAAAGCAAAACCTAGATCATGGGGGGGGGGGGTGACCATATATATATATATGTGCAGGCATGAGATGTCCTCCTGGCCCACAGCCCAGAGATACACCATTGCATACCTACTTCAGACTCGATAAGAAGCGCCAGGCTACAGCTACGAGCCCCCCCCGTGCAGAGAAGCACCATTTAGTTACGGACTACAGGCCCTTGTTGGGACCGCCCTTGGCCCCAAGCCAGAGAAACAAATTCGGTAGTGGACTTCCGCCCCCCCCCCCCCCCTACAGCCTCCCTCCCGGTAAAAAAGCACCATTGTGTTGTAGACCGCTGGCCGCCCCTGCAGAATTCAAGCGCCATGTTGGTTTCAGACTTCATGCCTCCCCCCCCCCCCCCTCGCCCCCGGATCCACAGTGCAGAGAAACACCAGCTTATTACGGATTTCAGGCCGCTACTGCAGCTGTGTAGCACTTTGTAGACCCTGCCTTGAGGCCGCCCTTGGGGCCCCCCCTATCCACAGTGCTGAAAAAGCGCCACTGTGTCACGGACTTCACGCCGCCAACGCAGCATCGAAGCAACTTCTAGACACGGATATGTAGCCGCCATCGTGGCCCCCAACCCAGGCTCTTTTTTTTGGATCGGACTTTTGGCCCCTCTTTCCTTTCTTTCCTTTTTTTCTCCTCTCGTCCTTTTTTTTTCTCCTCCCCTCCGATGCTTCATGATGCTTCTTTATGTTGCCGGCACGAGTTTCCTCCCGGATCCACAGTGCAGAGAAGCACCATTTTGTTACGGACTACAGGCCTCCACTTCCCCTACGAAGCACCTGTTTTGGAATCAATCACGGGCAGTGCGAGTGTGCCCCTGGCCATGGTCAAAGACTTCACTTGTGCCTGCGGCAGACGTTACACCTGCAAGAACGCCGAGTGCGCCAGGGTCACCAAGTTCAAATGCGAGAAGCAGCATTTCAAGCCTCCATCTCTCGACTTGGAGGGAGGGCCCATAGCAGTGGCTAACATCCTGTGGGTGGTATTGTCCAACCTATCCAACAAGCATCATGCAAGAACCCTCCGGGCACAACTGATAGATGCTGGTGCCGTCGCGGACACGATCCTCGTCAAACATGGTTTTGAGTTTGGACACGAGGATGGCCACCGCCAGCTGGGGCACACGGAAATCTGCATGTACAGTTTCCGTTACCGCTGGCTCCCCAAGTGCAACAAGCGCTCCTGCAGTTCTCACACATTCGCTGTGTCGTCTACCTGGAGTGCACGGCCCGCTTAGCCTTCAGCTCAGTGCAGGACATCTGCCCCACCGTCAACGGTGACTGCGCGGCCGATATCTTTTGGTTGGGCTACCGCAAGTCTCATCGCCCGAGTGAGTTCCGCAACGGTCACTCCAAGTTTGTCTACGAGGGATCTAAAATGATCGCCTTCAGGAAGCAATCTCTACGTCTCGTGTACGAGCATCTGCTCAGCACGAAGAGGTACTGCCATCTGGACCTGTGGCTGTGCCGGATCCTTGATCCCGCTTCCTTCTTCGTCCCACTGGTCTCCTGGACCACCTCGGCAGCTCACTCCTCCGTGTGTGGTGGCTCCCGCGACGGGCCTATCAAACGGCCACGCGCGCTGCGGGGACAAAACAGAGAAGATGTGCTTTCTGTTTTCTTGCCGTGTGCGCTTGGACCGGCGCTCCACGCTCATCACCATGTGTGCAGAATCCATTTGCTGCCTTTGCCTTGCTTGCTTGCCGGCTTTGCGTGGGGCCATGAAATTTTCGGAGCCCTGCGCCCCACTTGCGTCTCAACCTTCGGGCGGAGACAACGTGGGTGCCCATCTCTCTGCCCAGAGATGCTCTCTCTCTCTCTCTCTTTCTATCTGTCTCTCTCTCTCTCTCTCTCATATATGCAGGCATCATTGCGTGCTATGTATGCGCACGTTCATGCATTTTCTGTTCAGGGCGTGGCATGTCCAAGAAGTGCCTGTAGAATTCGGCCCTGTGGAGTTTCGTCACGTCCAGTGGCAGCTTGTACAGCTCACTGAGGCTGGAAACCCTGGTTTTCAAGACCCAAGTCATAGTCAGCACCGAGGTTGATGTTTGCAGTCTTGGGTGAGGTGTGTGTTCTTCAATGAACCTCAGTGCCTGAATTGTGCAATAGGACTGCGCCCTGGTGTGATCACGAATTTTGCCCTAAACCCTAAACCCGCAACCCTGAACCCTAAACCCTAAACCCTAAACCCTAAACCCTAAACCCTAAACCCTATAAACCCTAACCCTACACCCCAGCCAGCCCTCAGAACCTCAGGAAAGCCTCGTGGCGCCTGCGCCAAACGGGCGGCCAGCAGAACCTTGGCAGCTCCAGTTGTCCTAGTGCTGCCAACATCGTTCACTTCCCTGTGGACCTAACAGCTAGGCTACCAGAGCCCTTACGGACTCCTAGTGGGGTGTAGGGTGTCACGTCCACTCCCAAGGAATGCTTGAGCATTGCGGATTTGGAGCACACGTGGCTGTTGCTTTGCCACGTCGCTTGTGCCTACCGCAGTGTGAAAGCACACGCCGAACAGGGAGCAATGGCATCTTGGTGTGCAGCAATGTCCTTGAAGTCTGTTCGGTCTGCACATGCCACCGCAGCGAGCACGAACACATCTTGCAGTGGAGGTCCACGAGCAGAATCTGACGTCAGATAATCAGACTTCTCCCGACCATCACTGTCAAAGACCTTGACGAGTTGCTTTCCTTGCCAACAAACACCCCACTGCAAGACCTCTTCTTCCCTGGGCATCAAAGAAAGGCCAGTGCTGCCACCTGCGCCTCACTGCCTCGTCCTGCGGCTGCGAAGGCAGAGTCAGGGCTTCAGAAGTTGCCTTCTGAACTTCCCAGTGTTTCAATTGCTGGGGGGGGAGAGGGGGGAGGAGGGAGCAGGATGAAGCGCCAGTGTTTCAAAGCAAGGCAGCCACTTTGTACTCCCAAGCAGATTTTTTACGCAAGTGTGCCTCCGCCAGGAGATGGAAAATGATTGGCTCGCCCGGGTGGCGCAGCCTCTTGCTTCCTTTGCTAGGGTGTTTAGGGTTTAAGGTTTAGGGTTTAGGGTTTAGGGTTACCAGGATTCTCTCTATCGCAGCTGAGGCAGCTTGCTGACATAATTGGCCGTCCCTCGCTCGCAGAGAGAGAGAGAGAGATAGAGAGAGAGAGAGAGCCGGACTCTGCTTAGCATCCTACACAGCGCAAGGGACATGAGCCATTGTGGCCGTGGCGCATGATGTGCTTTCCCTTGACATGAAACGGAAGCATCGAAGCCTTTGCTGTTGGCAGCTCTCGTAGAAAGACATGTTGTTCAAGGCAAGCCGAACCACGATAAGGTCCATTTCCGGAAGTACCTGAGTATGCGGAGCTGGTACTAAACAACTGGTGCCCCAGGGCTTCAGGCAAAAGGCATGGGGATCTTTGGAATCATGTTTGTAGTCTTCGCAGCCCTTGTCGGTTTTCCACCTCTTGTTCTCCGCGAAGACGACGTGGCCTAGCCTTGACGTTGGCACGGCAAAGGGTGCCAGGCTTATGCCGCGCATCCAGCGAATCGTTGAAAGATCTCGGATGAAATCTAAGTCCCGTAGACGAGGGTCATCGACGACATGGATCTGTTGAGGTTCAAGAAGCATCGTCGCCCACAATTACACGCGACCCTATCCGGCGCAGTTATCGCCTGGCAACAGGTATGTAAACACACCGATCGGCCGGTGAATGCTATTGGTTTTGCAAGCATCACGATACCGGCTTTCGCACATGAGATTGTCTTCGGAGAACCTATATATATATATATATGTATATAAGTGGCTGCATTTCGGTACTGTTGGATGTGACACTGCTGGGCGCACCTCCCCAATCTCGCTTGCGAAACTCCTGTCGCGCACGCCTTCATCCCCATGCAGGCATTTGCTGTGTGAGCCCGAACTACCGTTCCTTGAATTGTTATATTGTTTCATCTCAGCAATCGTTTGGTGATGGCGCCTTGTTCTGCATTTTACTTCCTGGAGTTTTCTAGAAGCACAGGTCGCCGCAATCTGTGTCCAACATGACACTCTCTTTTTTGTTGGGGCGTGATGTGCTGTCGGGCGGCCACTTGTTTTTGCTGGTCACGACGGAATGCAGCAGACTAAACAACCATACGCACATCCACAGCGCAAGAGCCTGGCTGAAACTCTGAGTCTAGTCACGCATATCGCTTCGCGCGCGCGCACACACGCACGCTCGCATGCAGTCGCACGTGCATGTGCACAGGCACGGACACGGACACGGACACGGACACGGACACGGACGCGCTCGCGCGCACACACACACACACACAAAAGCCGCCCGCTGTACATGTTCGTGGGTGTGGATTACCCTGACCGTAGGTACGTTCCTGGCCACCCGAGCGATGGCAAAGAAGGGGAGTCCTTCATCATTTCTCGGGAGCGAAGCTCAAAGAGGGATCCAGAATCTAAAACATGGTTCTGTCAGGATCCTTGCTACTACAACTTCATTCAACCATGCCAAGGGCTCGAGTTCTCGCAGAAAATTCCGTAGCTGCGCCTTGCTACAATTCTATTCATACCGTGCCTTCAAGCTCGGTTTGTCACCATCTGCGCAGGAGAATATCCACATGGTTCAGCCGGCATGCCGCTTCCTGGCCCTTCCAGATGAGGCAGCGCAGGGATACGGTCGAGAGCCCCTGAATTTTGCAAAAGGCTCTCGCGAGTTCATCTAGTTTAAGCGCATGACGCTTGTAGGGGATGTTTGGGAATACTGCCAGCAACAACAGCAGGCAATGCAATTGTATCAGGGATGTTTGGGAATATTGCCAGCAACAACAGCAGGCAATGCGATTATATCAGGGACAAAAAGGACATAAACACGCGCACACACAGACACACACATACGAGTGCCAAGCGTGAAGCCGCGCCGGTCATGACCCTCAGTTTCGAATTAGTTTCATGGCAACCACGGGGTTCTAGATGATAACGGACTGTAACCATGATACTCTGACATTGTCGCGGCTTCTACCTTTCGGATCCGTAATCAGTGGAGCCACTCCCTCCGCAGGGGATACTGCACTGCGACGCCGCAGATACAATGTGTCCTTGTACTGGTAGCAGTGAAGACGAAGGCGATAATCCCTAAACCCGATCTTTGGGGCCGGCAGTGCGGCTGGCAACGCCAGATTCCCGAGTGCGATGCCCAAACCTCGAAAATACTCTTCCCTCAACCCCTTGAAGCCTTGCAAGAAAAGCGACTTGCTGAAACAATCTGCAGAGGCTGTTAGTTTGCAGCATTCTTCTCTCTGGTTCAAGGCCTTTACATGGCTTGAGGGCCTCTTACATCCTCTCAAAACTGTGCGGGAAGCGTGCTTGAATAAGGGGCTTTCTAGGAGGAGCATTGCAACAAAGCGGCCCAGTGGTCTGCCCCCAGTGGCTACGACCCTCAACCCTCAACCCTAAACCCCAAACCCTAAACCCTAAGCCCTAAACCCTAAACCCTAACCCTAAACATCCCTAACCTTAAACCCTAAACCCTAAACCATAAACTGATGTGTAGTGGCCCTACATGCCCTGCAGGAATGGTATCGCAAGCTACACCTGGTGTTGGAAGCAGAGGGCGGTCGCGCCATCGCGTCTGCACACGAATCCATCCGAAACGCCATGAAGAACCGGAATAACCGTGTCCCGGCTGGAAGTAGCAATTGCAGCCGTCAAGGTTTTAGAGGCTTTCCGCAATGCCAGCACTTTGTGTGCTTCTTCAGGTTTTGGAACACGTCCCGAGAGGAGCGGACAACCCCAACCTTCCACTGAATCAACGCCTTATGTGAAGTCAGGGACGAGGCCTGCTGCGACCAAGCCCCTGAACAAAACGAAGGGCACGAAAATGGGCGGTAGAAACCACAGCTCCCAGGCTGCGAACTGTGCAGTACCATGCTCAGGTGAGGTTGTGGGGTCACTCTGTCAGTTGGCCACCGACATCGATTCTTTGAGTGATGCCCGGCCTGCAGCACAGGAATGCCTTCACATGCTCAGGGTGCGACTCGCTAAGGGCCTAGGGCTTGGGAGTTACTAAGAGCAGATTTTTTTTGTCTACACTCCATCTGCTCGTCGAATGTAGTGTACTTCCTGCATCACCTGGCCGCGCTTGCTTCTCTTTGTACCGTGGCACACAACATGCACTGCGGAATCTCTGGATGCATTTTTCCCGCAGACATGTGTGTCGGAAGTGCGACCGGGGCATTGCCGGCACGCAGCGAAGCTTTGTACATGCTCTTAGAAGCTTCGTGTATCGGCGCAGGCACACTCAACCCGCCGACCGCCATTCGTGTAATAACGTAAGAGCATGCTGTGCATATGGCCACAACCGTTAGACCACCAACTGTTGCGAAGCCCCTTGTGCAAAAGAGTGTGTGCGTTGCCCGACATATGGATCGACATTTAAAGGCTTCTATCCGATGCATGCATGTATACTGTATGATAATATATATATATATATGGGCGTCCGCCTATTGCGGTTCCCCTTAATTTTTTTAGGTTTACATAAATGTATATATTTTGACCCTAAACCATCGTTATAACCACAGCAACAAGTCGATGATGATGTAGGTACCCCAAACCTATAGGGTTAAGTTTGACAGGTTTAGGGCTTCAGATTCAGGCATTTAAACGTCAGCCCGCAATGAAACCTAAACCCTAACCGTTCAACCCGATAGAGTTAAGGTTAAGCGGTTAGGGTTTAAGATTTAGGTATTTTT